TCCTCCCATCCGACTTCACTCCTGTGACGACATTCCCCTCCTAACGGATCGGAAGTTCGGCATTTTGATCGGAGGCGGCAACGGGAGCAGCTCGCTGTAAAGTTAACTCCATCCCTTTAGCACCTCTTCTCCAACTCCTCCGGTGCTGTTCGAATTCGCTCCTTCAACGACTTTCTCTGCCGGTCGGATCGGAAATTCCGACATTTTGATCGGAAGCAACTGGGAGCTTCGCACGCTGTGAGGGTAACTCTCTCCCGATCGCACGCTTCTCCGGCTCCTTGTGGCTGCTCAGCCTAGCTCCTTCGATGGCATTCCCATCCTGTAGGACCGGAAGCTACAACATTTTGATCAGGATCGACGACGAGAGCTCGCCTGTGAAGGTAATCGGCTACCTTCCGAGCACTTCTCTCGGCCAAATAAAAAAAAAAGGATTTTCTTTTTTATTATTTATAATAATTATTAATTATACTACGGCCGCGATGTCTGAGGACACCTACCATACATGCTCTAGTAGCGTGGTGGGAAGGCCCAGCTCCTCTACTTTCCCCCAAACGTGGGATATGCCGGGGTGCTGCCGAAATTTTTACTGAAATGTACAAAGACTTGAACAATTTGAAGACCTTCTTGGGCAACAATATAGAGGAACTGTACTCGAACAAAAATGTACAGAATTTGAACTAAAATGAGCAGAGGACCTGTACGATGAACAGTGGACTTGTGGACCTAAACTTGAACAAATCCTAAATGATTTCTAAAGGTTCAAATCCAAATAAAAATAAAATCAAATTGGGGATGAATTCAAATCAATTTGAACATAAAATTGTACCTGCAAAGACTTCAGAGGACCCTGGACAATCACTTGAACTTGTACTCTGAACTCAAATTGAAGCAAGATGTGGACAACAAGAACTTATGCATTTGAGCTTGAACTGTACGACACCAAGTGAAATTCGCATTTGCGAGCACTAGATTCAAATCCGGATGAACTTAACATGACAGTAGAAGACTTGAATGAATGTAAAAGACTCACACTGAGTTTGAACTCAAGTTTGAATGAAACTGAACTTGGACTCAGACACATATAAAGTACAAAACTTTGGTCACAAATAAGAAAACTCAAACTACAAGACCTCAATGCATGCAAATAAAGAATGTAGTGGACTCTTACAACAGTCTCTACGAGATCAGGTGCATCGACCTGCAAGAATAAAATGCATGGGCGTCCCCCCTACATGCACTATTAGAACCTCCAACACTAGAAACAATGCTTGTTGATTGGGAAGGCGACACTACTAATAGATAGTCAAAGACCCGTTCTCTATAAACAAATCCAGACATCAAACCACCCGAGATTGGTGAAAGGGTGGATATGGTGCAGAAGCAATGGGTCTTCTACAAAACATTTTTAAGAGGTCGTATTGAATACAACGGTCCCCTGCAAATGGATATTTGTGGATAACAACAGTGTATTGAAAGTACAATAAATCACTGTGGACACAAGTACGGATATCACCTACAACGTTGGTGGTCAAGATCTTCAGGTGTTTCGGGTACAAGGATGGCTCGATGTACAAAAAGGTACTCCGTGACAGAATCGGAAAGGAAATGTTTGAGCAAATTAGAATCAAACTTCCTGGCGTTCCAAAGTCTCTTTTTAGTTCTATGGTTAAGAAGGGAACAGTTCGGCTGCCCACAAATATCGGAAACAACAAATCCATTACACTGATGATCTGACAAAGAGTTCTCCCCAAATCAGCAGTCACTGACTCCAAAGTTCAGAAAGACCCTCCCCAGTGAATGAGAAAAGGGGAATCAACACTAAAAGACGCAACGCCTCCGGATTTGCAACACTGATACAAGCAGACAGAAGGCGTTTACAATCTACAACGTAATGCCACCGGATCCGCAATACTCGTGCTAGCGGACAGAAGGCGTGTACAAGCCCTTAAATGAAAAGTTGTGCGCACTCAAATGGTTGTTACCTGCATAATTACAAAATATTTTAAAGTACCCCCACACAAGTGCACCGTAGTTTGTATACACAGGTATACAAGGGGTAAATTCAATTGTAACCCGCTTGGGCCCCGGCGAGCATGTTATTGGTACATACGTGACTCCTAGGGATGCTGCGCGGGTCGATAAGTGAATTCTGGTTCGAACCTGATCCTTCTATACGGATCAATAGAAGTCGACAGGGTTCGAACCTTCAAACAAATACACGGTTGTGGCGACCAGTGTATTTGTTTCAATATATTCATATTAGACCTTCAAGGCTTACAATCAAAAGAATTCACTAAACAAAAGGCATAAAGCCTACGAAACCCGATCCACCTAATTAAATAAATGGGAGTAGATAGGGTTCGAGATATCGGATAAATATGCAGTCATGAAAGTTGACCAGAATATTTATTTTGTATATTCATATTCGACCTTCAAGGCTTTCAACAAAGAAAATTCATGAATAAAGGCACAAAGCCTACGAGAAAACCCGATCCCCTATCGTTAAGTTGATAGAGTTGACAAGGTTCAATCAAATGGAAATGACCTCAAGTACATCCCGATGATGACCGTGTTGAATGTTTATTTCAACTGGAGGGGTCCATTCAAATTCCAAAACTCCAAAAATGCCACTCAAAATCCTAAAATTTCAAGATATTTAAAATTGAAATCAATCCATCAATTACTCAAAGCAAAATTCATCCACCCTCCGCAGCAGTTTGCTAGGGTGGACAAATTAAAATCTACTTTTGCTCACAAAAAGTGAAATGCCTAGTCGAAAATATCACTAGGATCCATTCTCAAACAGTCTCATGCCAGTAAGGACGTGGTACGCGTCCTCTGACCGGCGGTTTGCCGCCAAATGGCACCGCAGGATAAACGGTTATGACAACCCGGGGCCCTCTGAACCGCGTGGTTTTGCCGCCAAATGGCACCACGAAATACCGGTTATGGCCAGAGTCAATACGTTCCTTATTGGCATCAAATCCTTGAGATATGAATCAATAGGATATGATTGACAGGGCACAAAGCTCTCTACAAGCTAAAGTGGATTCAAATTTGTCCCCTTAGGCAAATACCCACCCCAGGTCTACAAGGTCCCCTTAGACGAAGCAACCCATGGCTGCCGACAAGGATCCTTTTGTCAGATTGGGTCGACTACCTCCTCTGACTAAGTAAAGCAGGGACCACGATGGCCTAGGACGACGGAACCATGGGATCTTGATCGGGCCCATCATCCATTCCCCCACCATCCGCTTTAAGTGAAATATGGTGCAATTTCTATTTTAAATATCAAATCTCCAAAATTTTCAAATTTCCAAACCTATGCTGCTACTATAAGCCTGATATTACGTATCTATGGATATGATGTATCTGATTGACGACTAACCTTAATCGAAAGTTCTCTCTCGCGATCGGGAGGGGTAATTAACTATAGAGGCTTGCGCCTATAGGAAACCAGAACTCAGATCATAAAGTCCTCGCAAAATGAGAGAGAAATCTCTGGGTAGTGTCTTATCTACAAATCCATCTGCCTTCCAAAATTTACCTCGGAACTTAATTCGTTAAAACTCCCTCGCCGAATAAAAAAGAAAAGCGGCAGACGGAGGCCGGGGCCAAATTTTCGGAGCCCACATTAGTAAATCCTAGGCTCATAAATCCTAAAAAGTGTTTGGTATGAGAAATTTTAAATCCTGTTAAATCCAGATAAGTTGTTTGGCAACAGATTACAGGACTTAAAACAGTTGAAGATTTAAAATTGAGGGAGTAAGATGAAGCCACCTTGAAGATTTACAGGACTTAAAACACTGCAGTTGCCAGGTCCCAAGTCCTGGATAAGAAAAAGTGGAGGGTTGCGTTAGGTAGTCGACAGCCAG